TAATTATTTTTAATAATTTCTAAATCTTTTAAGATTTTAAGCTAGGAAAAAATAAAAATCTGATCTTTATCGATGGGAACTTTGTTTGCATGGAAGACAACAACAACACAGAATTCCAGATTTGGCACTCCGTTCATTACGTATTTTTAAAGCTACCTTTTAGAACTAATTAAGAATATTCTCAAGGGAAACAAATCAAGTTTGGAAATATTTACACTGTATTAACTTACTCCAGAATTTCCTACTTTTGCTTTCTCAAGAAATAGCAGAGTTCATTGCAAAAACACACAATTTGATTGTAGGAAATATATGAATATTATTTTTCAATTTAGGAGTCTGTTGGGAAGTATGCGTCCATCTCATTTTATCAAATATGCTTAAATGTGTATCACTGTGTGAATAAAGACACTTGTTTCTCCTTTAATCAGGCTGTATGTATTGAAAATTCATGCATGGTCAGAGGAAGCAAAGAAGGAAGGAATGGTTTTATTCACATCTTCAGACAGATCATCAATCCAGCAGAAAAAACACTGCATGAAATGCTGAGAAATGATAAGCGTTTTAGGTGAGTAGCAGTTTTGACAGCACTGAAGTTTTCCTACATAAGGTAATGGTTTATACAGCACAGCTTGTCTGAGAAATAGTTGTGGACTGTGGATTATTGGATTTTGGGGAGCAGGGAGGGCAGGGAAAGGGTTATTATCTCCTTAAAAGAAAAAGGGAGGTTGGGGGGGGAAACAAGAAAGAGGGTTCTCGTACAGATGTATGCTGAAAGGGCTCCCAGACTTTATGCTAGAACGGTCGTTAACAGCGCACAGGAGTCAGTGAGACACCAGAATGAGAGAATTAAGAGGACAAAAGGGATTGGATGATACATCCAGAGCTATAAATGCAGGGGAGTCTGGGGGTTTCATTAACGAGTAGTACAATTCCATATGAGCAGCATGATTGCACAACCTCATTTAGCATTCCTAAAGAGACCCACTGCCCTTGACACCTGTGGGGGTTGACCCTGTCTAGATGCCAGGTGCCCACCAAAGCCACTCTATCACTCCCCTTCCAGCTGGACAGGGGAGAGAAAATATAATGAAAGGCTCATGGGTTGAGATAAGGACAGGGAAAGATCATTCACCAATTACTGTCATGGGCAAAACAGACTTAGTTTAATTTATTACCAATCAAATCAGAGTAGGATAATGAGAACTAAAACCAAATCTTAACACACCTTCCTCCACCCTTCCCTTTTTACCAGGCTTAATTTTAGTCCTGGTTTTCTCTACCTCCTCCTCTTTATTGGCACAGGGGGACGGGAATTTGGGGTTGTGGTCAGTTCATCACACATTGTTTCTGCTGCTCCTTCCTCCTGAAGGGGAGGACTCCTCACATTCTTCCCCTGCTCCAGCGTGGGGTCCCTCCAATGGGAGACAGTCCTCCATGGACTTCTCCAACATGAGTCCTTCCCATGGGCTACAGTTCTTCATGAACTGCTCCAACATGGAGGTCCATTCCATGGGGTGCCGTCCTTCAGGAATAGACTGCTCCAGTAAGGGTCCCCTACAGGATCACAAGTCCTGCCAGAAAACCTGCTCCAGTCTGGTTTGTCACAGGGTCATAGACTACTTTGAGCATTCACCTGCTCTGGTGTGGGGTCCTCCGCAGGCTGCAGGTGGACATCTGCTCCACTGTGGACCTCCATGGGCTGCAGATGAAGATCTACTCCAGCATGGAGCACTATGGGCTGCAGGCGGACAACCTGCCCTAACCATGGTCTTCACCAGGGACTGCAGGGGAATCTCTGCTCTGGCACCTGCAGCACCTCCTCCTCCTCCTTCTTCACTGACCTTGGTGTCTGCAGAGGTGTTTCTCTCACATCTTCTCACTCTTCTATCTGGCTTCAATTGTGCAGTTTTGTTTTTTGTTTGGTTTGGGTTTTTTTCTCCTTCTTTATATGATCCCAGAGGTACTACCACCATTGCTGATGGGCTCAGTCTTGGCCAGCGGCGGGTCTGTCTTGGAGCCGCCTGGCATTGGCTCTATTGGACACAGGGGAAGCTTCTAGCACCTTGTCACAGAATCCACCTCTGTAGCCCCCCCAGTACAAAAACCTTGCCACATAAACTCCATACAGCATCTTCTTTTCGTCTGTTTCATCTGTGGAGTTTTTACTCAAAGAACTCTGCTCTGATCCAAGCTGCCAATTTTTTTTTTTCCCCTCAAATCTTTTTTCCTCACTCTGCTACTCTTAAGACTATCTTTTACTTCTCATTTTCCTCCTCCACTGTCTTTTGTTTCTGGGGAAATAGTGAGATTGTTTGAAGATTGAAACACTATCAGAAAAAAAAGCGAACTAAGTGCCTGGGCCCAAGTATAGTTTCCACACTTCAGCAGAATGTATTTCTTTTTTTTTCTGTTTGTTGTAAACAGTGTTTTCCTCAGCCTGGTGAAAGCTGCAGATTTAGATGAAGTTCTCTCACGACCTGGAGAATGGACTCTGTTTGTTCCAACTAATGATGCCTTTAAAGGTTTGACTGATGACGATAAGGATATATTGATAAGTAAGTAACATAAGAAATCTAGAAATACAAACAAAAGTGCAATTGATGGGAAGGGTGGCTAGTCCATTCCTTATGCAAAAGATGTCTGATAGAACAGCTTAGCTTTTGCATAGAGCAGGTCATAGGACTTCCCTAAATTAATTCCTTCTGGGGGAGAGAGATAATATCTTCTTGGATAAAAGCACCCAACTTGAATTTAAATTTAAGTTTCATTCCTTGATACATTATTCCAAGGTGTAATTATTTTCCAGGTTAAAATTTGCCTTCATTTAATTGTCTTCAACTTTTCGTCATTCAATCTTGCTACAGATTTTTTTAAACTGAGAAGTCCCTTCTATCACATTTCTTTTCTAGTGTTGACCATTACAGTAATAGATATGTAGTATTGACTTTCCTATCTTTCCTTTTCTTTAATGTCATGTTTTATTTCCATAAGAGAAGAAATGCACAGTGAATACTTCAAACTTTCCTGCAGAATTTCACACTAGAGTGGTGGTCTGTGGCCACAGCACTATATAAATTTTTAGTTGATTTGAGAGCAATGTGAATCTGACCTGTGCACAAGTGCGGGAGAGAAGGTCCATGTGACTGACCTTCTGTGACATCCAGAACATCAGTCACATTTTCTGTTCCTGCACTTTTCAGATCAAAGTTCAAAGATATGAAGCTAAATCCCATGAATCTTCAATGACTTCAAAGAGTCTAGCTCAGAGCATTGATAAGCAGCAGCTCTATGCAGCCTTTCACTCAGTATTGAGGCACTGTGAATTTGATTTATCTCTTCAGACATTTAAAGTTATGATAGTGGTCTAAACTACCTTTAAGTGTGGTGCCTCTGGTGACTAACAGTAAATTAACAGATAGCCTAAATGGCTAATAGTAGATAGCTATAAAATGAAATGAAGCTTGTCTCAAGGCTGTGAACTGAAGTAACTGGATAAACACCATTGTAGTTTTTATGTGACTATATAATTATTTTATTAACTAAGGTTGAGTTTCTCGGGTCTATTTTTGTCTTCAATTCACAACCTGATGTTGTACTCAAGGCCCATGCCATTTTGGATTTTTTCTAAGAATACAACTATATTTGCCATTCTGCTTTTTAAGGGGCTTTATGTACTATCTTTTCCTATAATTGTGACTCAGTTTCTACTTACTTTCCTTGGCAGATGAGGTTTTAATTTACCTTCATTACTTTTTTTGCAGCAGAATGTCCATTTTTTGTCAGATTACTTTCTGGAATTCTGTCTTGGCTTTCTTTAAAGACATTATGTTGCTTTCTCTATAAAAATTAAACTTTAAAATATGTAATTTTAAGGAATATAAAGAAGTAGTTTGTTTATCTGTAAGACAGGCACAAAACAAAGATTATTTTAGCCAGTAACCACTGTGGCATAGAACAAAGGTAATCTGATAGTTTATGAAAATTTTTGAACGGTGATGTTTAGGCTTTGTATGTAACTTCATGCTATCTATGAATGACTCAGGCACAAAATCTCTAATTCTAGTAGGAAGAAAAAGAGCATTTAATTGCACTTCAGTAGTAAAGTGAATTGCAATAATATCAGTGATCAAAGCAAAAGGGAGAAAAAGGAACGTGTTCTCTCAGAGAGTCACCAGAAAACAGTTATAACTAAACAGTATTTCCATTGCAGTTTCATCAAGGCTGGAACTCCTAATAACAATCAATATCAGCATAATTCTGATACGTAATTCTGATATGAAACTTGTAATACAATGGTCAAGATTCAATGTAATCATAGGCAGATGTGTTTTAAAACTGCTCTGCTAGGTACATTGGACAGGTTGTGGATATTCCTACAGCCCTTCCTATGACTCTGAACCTCCATGAACCCAGAGCACCAGAGAACCCAGCCGGGATACTAACCTGGGCTTCAGAATCCATTTCCTTTTTAAGACAGTCTTGAAAATGTTGGCTGTTTTCTTTTCTTCCCAAATAGGAATGTCAAACTTTGAAATATGGAAATCCTTGCTGGAATAGGTTTTTTTCCCCCCTTTCCCAACTTCTCCAAGCTGTGTCTGTTCTCTGTAAGAACAGACAAAACTGGCACTCCAAATGACTCCTCCCTTTCTGACTGAAGAAAATAGCAACTTTCTCCTGCCCCAGATGAGACAAGATATGTGTATATAAAGAGTTGTGAGTTATCCCCAGTCATCTCAGAAGGATGTTGCCATGAGAGAGTGATTATATTAATTGTTAGCTATGATTCCCTTTAATTGCAACAGTTTTAAGGCTGGCGTTTATCTAGTAGACTGGTCAAATTTGATACTGCCAACTGCTTAGTGGTCCTGAAATTACTGTGTTAGCAAATGTGGAGCATATTTAGGAAAAGGGCAACAAATTCTCACTAGAGGCACAAGAACATAAGAGAAAATAATACAGGAAAGTAGGAAAATGCTGGCTGCTTTTCTGTTCTTTTGCACAGGAGCTCTCATAGCATCTTTCTGATTATGTTCTGAGTCCCATTTTGTCATATGGTTGGGATTTTTTTCTCTTTATCATCATTTTAACAGGTTCAATTTATATGTGTTCATGGTAGTTTCATTCATACCATGCCTAATTCAGGATCAAGCCTATATGAATCTTTAAAATTTCCAGAAGTAACTATTCATTACCATATAATTTTTACTCCTTCTTTTCTTTTTAAATAGGAGACAAGAATGCTCTCAGGAACATTCTCCTTTACCACTTGACACAAGGAGTTTTCATTGGAAGTGGCTTTGAGCCTGGTGTGACAAACATTCTCAAAACTATCCAAGGAGGGAAACTCTACTTGAAAACAGTTAAGTGTTGAAAAAGAAGTTTCCCTGATACAGCCTTGTAATAGGGATTTGACATTCCATGTCTATCCACATTACAGAATGGGATACATTTCTCTGAACACTGTTAGGGTTTTGGTTTTGTTTTTTGATGTTCCTGATAACTTGTGTTCTCTTTTAATCTTTTACCAGGTGAATGATACTCTTCTGGTTAATGAACTGAAATCAAGAGAATCTGATCTCATGGCAACCAATGGTGTCATTCATGTTGTTGATAAACTCCTATATCCAGCAGGTGAGTATTAGTTCATGGAATTTACGCACACTCTTCTGAATCTGTTTGCATGTTATATAGGTGCAATAACTTTAAAAAGCTAATTCCTTTAAGATATAATTCCTGTGTGGAATAAGAAACAGCAAATTTACCTCACTACTAATTTTATGGAGGACCATTGCTTGAAACAATGGCAACTCTCTGAAATATTATGAAAGTCAAGTATATGGAAGACAAGATGCCTTTTTCACTAATATGGAAGAATGTATATGTACAAATGCACACTTGTGTGAGTGCTTGAGAGTGGTTTTATCTCCCAATCACTGTAATGAAAGTAAAATGAACACAGATGTATATTTCCTCTTACATGCCTATTTCTTTTGTCAGATCTGCCTGTTGGAAATGATCAGTTGCTCACAATCCTGAAGAAGTTGATTAAGTACATTCAAATTAAGGTACTCTTTGAATAATGGTTCCTTCATTCTTTTTGGCAGGATCTGTGAAACCATGTACTCTATAATTCATAAGTGATTCTCTTTCTTCAGCAGGCAACACATTCAATAGCTCCCAGTTACCCAAATGTAATAATGAATGATACACTCAACTCAGCAATTAGAATTTATGTTTTTCACCACCAAATAATTGTAGAATATTTGCATTTGGATAACTCTAATGTGAACTGGCCCAAATCCGCTCTTTGGTTCAGGTGCACTTTATTACTCCAGCAAAATAAATTCCTTCTCAATCCTTGAGGCAATCCCCCTTTGAAAGAAGGTGAGTGGCTAAATCACTATGTCATTAAACCCACCAGCCTCAATAGCCTGTGGAGAAAAATAGGCATCTACCTCAGCTATCCTCCTCAACAGTGAAGGAGAGGACCTAGGCAAACAGCATCGCCTAACTTTTAGATCAATGAAGCAGTGAATCCTACCCATGCTTATTAGGAAACTAGAAGGCAAGTGCTCTTTCTTTTAAATTTTAAAATTACTTTTCTGTATTTATAGTTTGTTCGTGACAGCACCTTCAAAGAGATTCCACTGACGTTTTACAGTAAGTTCATTTTAAATATTTCCAGATGGCTTTGAGATTGCTTTTTTAAATGTTGCCAATTCCAATCTTGAATTGTAGATCTTTTTTTCAATCTAAAAGAAAGAAATTTCTGGGAGAATAAAATGTGCCAGGAAGCACAGGAAGGGAAAGACTCAAAGTAGAATGTTTCTGGCTGTTGTGCTACTGTATGTATTTTTTTCCCTTTCCAGATGTGTGACAGGAAAGTAACCCTGAAGTAAGTTGTTCAGACTCTTTGGAATAGGCAAGATACATATGGAAAAGATTGGTTTGCAGCTTTTAGCCAAGGTTCAGTGCTTGGTGCATAGCAGAGTTGTACTGACTCTCTCTACAATATAGCACTGTACTGTACTGACTCTCCAAGATGTAGCATAGACCAAACACTGCACTGAGATGGTTTAATTTTCATAAATGCTTTCAGAGGGACAGAGTGTATCTCTTCCACCTGTTTCCCATATGTGCAAATATGAGGCTTGTATGGGAGGCAGTTGCCCCAACAATTTTCTCTTTAGTGAGTAAATATAAAAAAGGAACCTGTTTTGTTCTCTTGTAGTCTTTCTCAGAGTTTACATTTAGTTTCTGTGTATAAAGTAGAAACTGCTGAGGCAAACTGTTAGAAGACAAAGATCCTACTGAAGCTTGTGAGGAATATAAATTTGAGGAAAATAAATATAAATGTGGCTTGTGAGGGAATATAAATTTAGGCAAATGATTAAACGTCTCTAGGATTTTACACACATTTCTCAGTAGAAATGAAAAACATGACATTAGGCTTTTGAAAATTGAGAATGGATACACTGAAGGTAAAAGACTTTTGGAACAAAAAATGGAATAATCTGTCTTGATGGCAAGTTTAATATGAGTCAACAGTGTGCCCTGGCAGCCAAAAGGGCCAACTCTATCCTGGGGTGCATCAAGCACAACATTGCTAGCCAGTTGAGGGAGTTGATTGTCCCATTCTGCATCACACTGGTGTGGTCCCACCTCAAGTACTGTGTGCAGTTTTGGGCACCTCAATATAAGAAGGACATCAAACTGTTAGAGTGTGTCCAGAGGAGGGAAACCAAGGTGCTGAAAGGTCTCAAGAGTAAGACTTATGAGGAGTGGTTGAGGTCACTTGGTTTGTTCAGCTTGGAGAAGAGAAGGCTGAGACTCATCACAGTCTACAACTTCCTCCAGGGGCGCAGCAGAAGGGGAGGTGCTGATCTCCTCTCTCTGGTGACCAGTGATAGGACACAATGAAATGGTATGAAGCTGCATCAGGGGAAGTTCAGATTGAACACTATGAAAAGGCTTTTTACTGGGAGGATGGTCTGTCGCTGGGTGAGGAACTGGCTGGATGGCCG